CACCCTACCACCATTGTTATAAAGCCAACCACGATCAGATCAGATAATAAGGTCGAGGCCCTTCTCGTTACCGACCCGTAATTTGTGGAGAAAAAGCTATCGAAGAATTTCTGGAGCGTATCTAGCACCCGATACGGATATTGCGGAATGGATCAAGTCGACCTCAACTGTTACAAAGAAAGAAGATATAGAAAAAATATGCGCACTTCATGTGGTCCTGGCGTCTAGGCCTCGCCTGGCTGGGGCTGCAGGTTTTTTGTGAATTTTTCCCGCGCATAGTTTCCATTACTACCTTTTTTGGGTAAAAGGCCCCGTGGAAAAGATGGCCGAATTTTACTTATTTATTTATATCAACGAGGTGCCTGCGCACAACACAGTGCTTTAAAGCCCCATGCCGATTAGCTCAGCCTATAAAGGGCTACCCGACGCAAGATGGCCGAATTCCATGGGTAAGTAATGAGAAATATGGATTTAAATCACGGGAAATATATCAACGATCTTTCAAGGAGCACTGTACAAGGTGTGACCAGGGCCAGAAAGTAGCCCAATATGCTAGATATTCTTAGACTCAAGTAGCATAATAAACACACACGTTCACTCACTCTGGTGTGTTAAGACTTTAGTCTGAGAATGACCGGGGTTATGTACCACTGCACCATCCGGTCTATATCCTAATATTTAATGAGCCACTGACTTGCAATGAGCCTTATCGGTGTTCTCTAGTATAGCTTGAGTAGCCTGGGTACCTACTCCACTTGGGAAGAAGACATCTCAGACCACATTTCGCGCGGAGAAAAGTTAATGAATGATGGAGGCAAATCTGAATAATTCAGGGTTCTTGAGACGTTTCCCTGGGTGGGTATTCGCCAATCAGGGCTGACTTGGGTTGTGAAAAAGTCGCCATAACTTTGTAGTGGAACTTGCAATTGAAATCTAAGACATGAATGCTCTCCTTGAATATTGAATTATCTTTTCTATACCTTTTCTCCGATATGATGTTATAGCTAGATAGCTACATAGGCAATCAAATTCTGATGCAAAAATAATGAGCCTTATGGTATTGACTACTAGAGCGGTTTTCATATCTACTCGAGTTTTCGGGATATACTTGAACAAGTGCACAGAATATGCTGCGCAATATATGTTGCTAAAAATACAAGTATCTGCACCATGTTTATATAGAACATGCAGTGGTTGTGACGGTCATTAAACCGAGAAATGCCTGTAGCCTGCGCCGGCTAGCGCCAACAGTCCTCGACTCGTGATGATACTTCACAGGATCATTCTCGTAGATTCTTAGATATGCTCATCTGGCATATCTTTTTGGTGGAAAATTCGAGACTGGACCAGAGTTGATCGAGAATCACCTAGAAAGAGTGGGAAACTTCTAGCAATGAAGAAGGAACCTTCCAGGAACGAGACGAGAAGTTACTAGAAGGATCTAGGTCAGTAAGCCGTGATTACTCATGGGACGAAGGCCAAAGATAGTATGAAAAGGAATGTATAAATACCTGTCAGAATCCAAGAGTAGTATAATATCAGTTGAAGTATATATCATTATCCTACACACAAATGCTCATGGCTGTTTATACTTGATCTCTGGTAGCGGTAATTTGGAGTTAGGTCTGTTAAATCATAGTATCAGAGATCATACAGAACCATATGCAAAGCTTTGATTGAATCATTGCTATTTGCTGACTATTTTCCAGATCATCAGCTCAAACATATCGTGAGATTATGGAATAAGCGGAAGGATAGATGCGGACTTAACAATTCACGGGAAGATAACAGGGAAGTTGTATATGAGACAAGTTTAGATGAGTCAATCTACGTCAAGGTAAAGACGTGGTCATCATGAAGAGAGTTGATTCACATCCTAATACTTATTAGCCTGATAGTCGTCATTTCCCAAATCATATCCTCTAGCGTCTTGGGGGAAAGTTCTACTACTCTATGTGATAATATTTTCTATGTACACCTTTGTTCACACGCAATATCACAATAGTATGTCGCTGTCTTTGCGCTGAAGCGTCCATGAATTTTGAAATTTTATGACCATATATATACCTTTCCTGATCAAGCCACTGTATAAAATCTCTTGGGCATCATCTAATGGGTAAGCTTTTAGAGCTATTACATGCCTCCATATTAAAGCCCTTTCACGAAGAGTTTCCTGAAAGTTAAGGAAAGTAATATGTCACGGTCGACTATATTCGCCTGGGCAACCTTCCTTTTGCAATGTCTCTTCAGGTCACTTACAAGCAACGGTGAGTTAAAGACATGGAGAAGTTCATCTAGTATCAAAAGGATTTTTGCACTTAAGGGACTATGCTTCAAAACCCGGGAGTTAATGGTGGAACGATCAGTGGCCTTCAATTTGTAGTAGGCTTCGTGAAATTTAGCCTGATAATGTCTAGTTTCTCTCTGCGGTTCACATGAAATGTAGAGAAGGCTCATAAATATTGACTGAGTAGTTTTTCACATTTCTCAGTGACATGACACTTCATGAAACCCTTGAACTTTATCTATGCGAAATTTAAACTGATGGCTCGGAAATAATGAAGAGTTGTTCATCGTCGTCTATTTCGTTTAGCGGTTAAGATCCTTTTATCTAGTGCGAAACGATGTGAAAGATCCATATTCGAGCCACTGACGCAAATCTTGTTCCATTGAAAATCGAGCAGCCTTTCGGGCGTCAACATGCCAGCGCAAATAATTCTTGTAGTTGTTCAGCTTGACACGAATTAATAGAGTCAGGAATATTAGTGATTCTATGATGGGCAGTTCTTGGCCGAGGCAGGTAAACATGTACTAGATACACCTGAAGTTTACCGTGGTTTGAGGATGTATTGATATCTAGACGCCATAACGATTATTTCAATTAATGAGCAGAATGGAAGATCAAATGTGAACTAAAATTGCGGTTCAACTGCATCGTGAGCGATTGGATGCTTAGTGATTGGGATAGTAGTTTCGAATACGGCATTTTGTAGTGCAGGAGTGGATCCCTCTAGCGAATCAAGATAATCCATCATCCCTGCCACGGAGCGGATAGGGCTTTGGTCAATTTAGCTCCGCTGCGTTTTTCATGATCCGTCAAGGACTCCGAGACCGACACCTCCCCACGCATGTGGCGGAGCCCGAGTCGGCGTTAACTGGCTTGTCGAGGCCCTGCACGGGCGGGGTCCGAAAGTACTTCTCGGATGCCAGCAACTAGGTGTTCCCTGATCATTTAGACTACTCTAAATGAGCTTGTGTATGATCATGTTCTCGAGAGGCGAAAAAATACATTGAGAGATCCCACCTGCTACTAGACCACGTAACTAATGATTCAATGAGATTGGACGGGGCTTGAGCTCCGCGCATGCCGACTTTCGCGATATTGTGGTTTACGCCACGACTGGCCATGACTCTAATCGTCTTATTGGCTCATACGTTTCAGCTTTCGCTATCCCAAGAAAGCATCTTGTCAGAAAGATACTTGCCAATACTGAACCATCGGGGAGGACCAAATGGGCGATACGGAGCTCATGTCCTGATGGTCTCTCGGTCACTTGCTATGTCCTGCTGATTGAGATCTCAGCAGCACACGTCATCTGACTCATCCAACTGAGTAAGCGGCGCTCTAGCTGCGAGACCAAATGGCCTGCGTATTCTGCTCACCATCGGTCAATTAAGACGCTCGGATACGGTGAAATCACGATGAACTATAGCAGACCTGACATCTGTACATCTCCTGCGTCAGATTGCATGAGTGTTCAAGTCTGCATCATCACTATTGAATTAGAGCACATTGAACTCGGTTTAAACGGTAATGTAGACGGTAATGACAAACAGTGCCGCATGGCTTTGAAGGGGGTGGTAGATATCTCTACATAAATTTCTGCCCTGAAATTTTCCTGGCTCTGTGTACAAGTTGTCGAGCGTTCTTACTAGAGGTTTGAGGTATGCAAAGAATGGTGTGGTGAAGTCTATCAAGTTCTGAACGACGTTCATTCTCTCGCAGTTCACCTGTCGATCAAACTTCACGCTGCAAGCCCACCGTTGTCGTACAACATCTAACGTCGAAGAGTACACATTTTTGTGTAGGTAATAACCTAAAATTTCATATGTGATTTAAAGGGTGAGTCGACAGGCTAGATCCAGCGTAGTTATTTGACCCAATGCGACCTTGACTAGGAATTTCTACTTATTTTCGGACTACCAAAGTGTAGCAGAACATAAATGACGATCGCCCAAATAATTTGAGAATCAACGTTGCCTATCCACCTAGCAACACGGTAGAATTCTGCAGCGTTGTGAATTATATGCGACGATAAAGTGCAATCGAACCTTCGCTCGCAAGTCTTTAATGCTATTCTGGACGTGACTGCAAAAGCAGCTCATGTGCAGAGAGCCGTCGATTCGTATAATCTGATTGGGGCAGATGACTGATTGAGGTGGAAACGAAAAGTTAGATTAGACTTAATCCTAGTCGTGGCTCAGAGACTTTTAGCATGTCGTTGTAACTCAATCGTATCACGTCTCAAATTACTCTTGCCAAGCTTCGCTTACAGGAACCCATAAGCCGGTTGAATGGAAGGAAAAAAGAAATCTAAAAGGAACGAAAAATCAGCCGTCAAAGACCTATCCGAGTTTCCGCTGCGTGCCAACTATCCTCCATCGCTCTTTCCCCATTTTTGAGACAACCAAACACCATCACCTAATTACCGCCTCCTGCTACAGACTTCTCTTCTCCACATCCCGCTGTCCATTTTGCATTAAGAATTTTTGTATTCTTTCCAGAACTAGTCTTCAATATTCTCTTTAAAGGCAATATCTTCACTTCTGTATCTCTTGTTATTCTGGCTCCATACTCTCAGTGGTTCATATCACAGCCCTGATCCAACAATATAGCCTTTATATGCAGCTCATAGGGTGTTAACGATCCCACAATCTTCCATATATTGCACTCAATTCACAGCCAGCTACTCAGTCTATCAAAAAGACCGTCTTTCACAATGTCTGAACCTTTTGTCTTCACAGCTCCATCGAATAATCGAAAATCAAAGATGCCATTCTCCTGGTCCTTTCTACCAAATCCTATACCAAGGCGCTATCGACGTCGACTTCGCTCAAAATTTAGATCATCAATTTCTCCTACCGGAACTATCGCCTCGATCGAGACCTCCTACAACCCGGCAGATACGATACGCGCATTGAGGGCCCACCGGTGGTCTGTTTACGATTCGAAGTATTTGGTTCTGATTATTATAACTGTTTTCTGTCTCTCTGTTAGCCTGGCTCCGGGGCCAATGATAAAGACTGGTGCTGCTTCGCTCTTGATGCTCGCCCTCCTTATACCAGTTACACGGCAGTTTTTTCTCCCAGCTTTACCGATCTTAACATGGGTCCTCTTCTTTTTCAACGCACGGTTTGTCTTCTTGATTACTTTTAATTAGTGAGCTACTAACAATTCAGTAGATTTATTCCTACCGAATATCGGCCGCACATCTGGGTAAAGATTCTACCAGCGCTAGAAAATATTTTATACGGTGCCAACTTGAGCAATGCTCTATCGAGACATCAAAACGCCATTCTTGATATACTTGCTTGGCTTCCCTACGGTATCCTTCACTTTGGAGGGCCTTTCGTCTGGGCAGCCCTCATGTTTATATGTGCGCCACCTGGAACTGTACCCATATTCGCTCAGACATTTGGCTATATGAATATTGCCGGTGTTGCCATTCAGTTGTTGTTCCCCTGTTCTCCACCATGGTACGAGAATACGTATGGCTTAGCTCCAGCAAATTATTCCATGGAAGGATCGCCGGCCGGCTTGAGAAGAATAGATGAGCTGTTCGGTGTGGACATGTACACTTCAAGCTTCACAGCTTCACCTCTAGTATTTGGGGCTTTTCCCTCTCTTCATTCCGGGAACGCGATTATCGAGGCTTTCTTCATGAGCCACTGCTTCCCTAAACTTCGGCCACTTGTTATATTTTACGCTATGTGGATGTGGTGGGCAACTATGTATCTCTCCCATCATTACGCAGTGGACCTTGTTGGAGGTGGTTTACTGGCTGCAGTAGCGTTCTACACGGCCAAAACAAATTTTCTACCGAGGGTTCAACCAGGCAAGGTATTTCGGTGGGATTACGACTTTGTCGAACGAGGCGATCCATCATACAGCAGTTTTGGACATGGTCTATCAGCGCTAGATGTGATTGAGCTGTGCCAAGACAGTAGCGACGAGTGGTCAATTGGGACCTCTTCATCAGTGTCTGGGAGTCCAATTGATGAAAATGGATCCTCATGGGAGGGAGAAACCCTTGCATCTCCAACCTCCGACTCTGATCTCAATGAAATCGCATGGTGATTTCATGAACTACAAAATTACGAGTCCTGGATAAAACCAAGCCGTTAACTAAAATAGCGGAATCATCAGGATTGAGTCGGCTCTTCACAAAACTGTGACTATCACCTTTGGCGTTTACTAGAGGTGATCCGAAAACGAACTGTATATATACATGTATATCTTCAACCTCAAACAACTAATCGCCAGAATTAGACCTATTAAAGTCTTCCGAAAAGATGCATAAAATTTTTAATAATGGATTTGAATAACTCTTCGCTTCTAATCACTAACGAATAATTTATGGTTGAAAATTGGGTTTAAACATTGAAATTCTATCATTTTACATTAAACCATCTGGGGACTTCCGCCATCGACTAAGGCATTGCTTGTGTGGATATTTCTCTTACACTTAATGGAGTGTGTGTGGCGAAATAGCGAGGATGGGTGCACGGGCTAGAAACGTTTGTGTAAATTATGGCGCTGGATTCACAAAAGGGAATTAAGTCACATGTTTAGGTTTTTGCGCAACAACTGGGCAAGCAGGAGAAGAGTTCGGCTAGTAACTAGAATAAGTGATATAGGATGAGACAGGCATAGGTCAATGAAGCCTGGCGTAGTGCCGAACCAGCTAGCTGTTGATTGGTTCTGGCTACTCATGATTTCGCATCCGTAGTCAAGAGGCTTGGCGCACTACGGTGAAGGAAGTTTGGGAGTGGGGCGAGAAGCGTAAGGAACTGACTAACAGTCTACAATTAAGAGGCAAGTCCATGTGGGCCAACAACTATACTCTAGGAACCAACCCTCGGACCAGCGGTTGTCAAGCTTCGGCCAACGCTGGGGCGAACTGCATCGAATGAAAAGAAGCGGTGCAGCATGGTCGGGATCAGAGGCGACGAGATCAGGGCATAAGTTTGAACAAGAAATGGAGAAGACAGTGATGTGTTTGTAGGAGAGGGGTAAGGGCAAGGGTTCCAGCAGACAAGGTTGCAGGGAAGTGCTAGTCAGAATATTTCTAGTGGATGATCCGGGGAGGGGTAGGCTAAAGAATGAGCGCGGCTCATGGTGCTCAATATATACAGAGAAAAGAGCGGAGATATGAAGATGCAGCGTGGATTATACTTTGCCGTCCGCTGCACCTGGACCCGGGGAAGTGGATTGCGGCAATGGAAGAAGTTGAGCGGAGCTTCCCGCCTACCCAATATCTTTAGTTCACTAGCACTGGCACGTGCAGAATGTTAAATAGCCTGAGGCATGCATAAAAGCCTTGAATTGGACGATTGCGATTGACCAAGCGAACAAAAGCCTGCCGCAACAGCGTAGTATGGGTGAGTTAGCAGGAGTCAAAGTGGAAGATTCCGGTGAGCGCCGGCATGACGTCTGGCTCACTGGGGGGATGAGCATATAAAGGTTGAGAGAGCTATTTTTCATCCCCTAGACATGGGCCGAGCGAGGCCTTCAGCTTCTCATCAGCATGGAGACTAAAGGCCACGTCTCGGTCAGCCGAATGCGCCCCCTTTATGACAGGTCGCGATGGCGCTGCACTGCTAGACTCAGACGGGCCCTGCTGCGCTGCAGCTGGGCGATACGTGTTACCGGGCCACGACGCCCTACATATTGGGTCCACCTGGCGTCGCTTGTTGGGCTGGGGTAAAGGTCGAAATTGGCAGGGTTGACGAGGAAGACTTGCGGCTTGAAATTTCAGGCAGCCACGTCAGGATGGCAGATTGGAAGACGCCCGAGCGAAGGGTCATTTCGCTTAAGCTTGTGCAGCGGTAACGCCATAGACGTAGCTAAAGATGGCCTGATACGCGGGCCGGTTAGGACAGGTGGGGGTAGCTTTATTTTCCAGCAAATATCATATCAGCCTCACTCAGCCTGTGCCGCGTGCCTCAAGACCTCGTCATCCGCGACCAACGATGCAACGCGAAGGAATCGAGTCCTGGCGCCCTATTTCCATCGCCAGTGACCAAATTGGACCGAGTGCTCTCGCCGGATGCGCCGGGGGGCACAGCGTGACAAGTCTGATGATTTTTGGGCACAATGCGGCCCATGGGGCTTTCAGACCGCTGAAGCTGGCGCCTACTCGTACTGTTAGGAGGAATCGGCCAATATCAGCAAGCAATGCGCCTCGCCTCACCCTTCGTGTCCTTCTCATCCTCTTCATTGGACGTCGGCGTGCCCATCCTCTCCTCAATCTCGCTCCCTCGACTTCTCAGTCCGCTCTTTGCTCGTACCAGTCAAAATGCGCTTTTGTGTGTGACCAGTGGTCGGGAGAGGGAGCGGCGGTGACGGTGGCGCCGGAAGAATACAGGAGATGGGTCCAAGGGGGAATATCAACCCAATCGAGGTGAGGACAGCGAGGGGCCATGGTTGACGGGCGAGCAATTTCCCGACACCTGTGCAGTAGCAGAGATCCTCGGAGATAGCAAAGAGCTACGAGGGAATCGAGGGCATCCTCAGACTCTCGGAAGTGAAAGGCCTAGTCACTTGCCGAAGCGGCAGCTCGAGAGGGCGCGAGCAGCGGGGGCTTGGGGGAGGGCCGGGGCGCCGGCGAACTGGTGGTGGTAGTGTAAAAGGCGCCATCACAATTTACACAATTTATGTAGCTGCCGGATGCACGCCTATGTCAGGGGTTCCTGCAAGAGTCTGAGACCAATACTGCTTGCATATACCGCAGCTTAGGCAGAGGAAGTCAGGGTCTGCTGCGATAGGAGTCAGTCGCTGCATGCGACTGAAAGCCGCCGTGGGAATAGTAGCAGCTAGGTAACCGCGAACCTCAGCTAGCATGAGGATGAATTGTGCGAGGCTTGACCGTCGAGTCGCAGGGCAGATTTACTTGTAGAGCCAGAGTCTTTCTGAGCCCGGCGTGGCTGGCTCTTTCTGTGCGATTAACTCGATTATCAAGTCGGTATCCGGTGCGACTATTGACAGTTATATCAGTGGTCAAATTCCCTGGTCGGATTCCGAGTCTCGGGACCCGGTCCTGTTCCCTTCCTACCACCCCCCCTCAAATAAGGAGGGACTTGAGCTCACTACAAAGATCATGTTACCCTTGGTCGAGGCCCTTTGTCTCCGCTGCCGGTTACTTGAAGACGTTCGTCCCTGAATCATTATTACCTTGCCTCGTCCCGCCAGCACGTTTGAAATATCACTGCATTCCTCCCCCTCTTTCCTCGTTTCTTCTCCTCGCCCTCCCGCACTGGGTCTCTCTCAATGATGAGTAATGCGCCTCTTGACCTATTCTTTTGCAGCTGCGACTTCCCTGACGACGACAAAAAAACTCTACAACTCTTCCGCCAATTACAGAGCCACAGCAGGAAATCCAGCTTCTCAGTCCTCGCCAGTTTCCTTTCCGAATGCGCGGTAGTGTTGAGAGCCGAGGTGGCGGCATTACCACGGTCCTATCGGCACAGTTCACCAGATTTCCAATCCCTACTCAACCTCGCTACGCCAATTTTAGGCGATGCCGAGTATGAAGATGAGCCGCTCCACGTGCCGCTGCGGGGTGCCCTCCTTTGTGCCCTACAAATTGCTCTACTCATTGGGTATGTCGATTGCATTTCTATCAATCCATTTTAGACCCATCCTATTCATCGTTTTCATCTATCTCCTGTTTCAATATTGTTCGAGTATCACTGGTTAGGACTTGCGGAAAGGTCGATATTAGAACTGTAAAGGCATCTAAGCTGACAGCGATGTCATCTAAGCAATTTCGAAGCCGAAAAAGTCGAATATGATTTGCCCCGACGGAATACAGTGGTCGCGGGTATACGTGTCGGCATGTTTGCTGCTGTTGCCATCGCCACATCATCGTCCATTATTGATCTGGCTAGTATCGGTCCAGAATCTGTGCGCATGGCCTTTCGACTCCAAATCCATGTCGATCAAATCTCGCGCCTAATCGAATCGCCGCCAAGCACTCAGGGCAAACTTCAGAATTGGGCTTACACACTCACTCAAACTTCCGAAGCCGATATACTGGAAGAGATCAGTAGATTCAACAAATTGAGGGTTTGTTCCGATACCATCAAACCTGGCTAAATCTATTCGTCAATGAACTGACTGTATACATAGGCATGTTCCGAACTCACGAAGATTCGGATATGTCACGTCGACCAGAACTCAGTCGGCGTGACTGGCCCGGAATCACGTGTTAAGGCGTTTTTGAAATCATGTTCTCTCTGTCCCTCATCTTGCTTACCACTCCCTAACTATGGAGGCCTTTGCCATGCCACCGAGGTATATGGAGATGAGGATGTCGAGTCTATTATTGGGGCTATACAAAAGCAGCGGTGTATTAGCCGTCCAGTATACATTTCCCTTTTATCTCCTTCCACAGGTGAACCATTCCCTGCCGAAAACGCCATGTCTCTCTTTGCCCTAGTCTGCAAGGAAATTTTGACTGAACCATATTATCAGTGTCGTCTTGTCAAAGGATTTTCTGACCAGGTTTCGATCTCAAGTACCATGGAAGAGTGTAGATTTTTCTGTTATGGTACATCCATCGTCCACAACATACTTCAATCACCTTCTACGCCCCTTTCGAATCACAAAAAGATCGTTCCCCACAACCTCGTGGAGTGGACTAGCCGAGAACTGAAAAGTGAAACCTCTTATTCTGATTACTCTAAATCTAAACTTGTCGTCGTGGGTATGTCTTGTCGTATGCCAGGCGGAGCAAACGACACCGAACTATTATTTCAGCTGCTTACCGATGGGCGTGATGTCCATACCAAGATTCCTGCTGATCGGTTTGATGTTGAGACTCACTATGATCCTACCGGGAATAAAGCCAATGCTAGTGAAACACCCTTTGGCAATTTTATTGATAATCCAGGATTCTTTGATGCTGGATTTTTTAATATTTCTCCACGAGAGGTGAGGCTTTAACCCTAAACTGAATCATTCCCTTCCTGCTTGAAAAGATAATTCAAACTGACGGCCAATTTATTCAAAGGCCGAGCAGACGGACCCTATGCATCGACTCGCGCTTGTCACAGCATACGAAGCCCTCGAAATGGCAGGATTTACACCTAATCGGACTCAGTCAACTAATCTTAGACGTGTTGGAACTTACTATGGTGTTGCGAGTGATGACTATCGTGAGGCTAATGCCGGCCAAAATATCGATACGTACGCTACACCTGGAGGTGAACGTGCGTTTGCAAACGGTAGAATTAATTATTTTTTCAAATTCGGTGGGCCTAGCTTCAATATTGATACCGCTTGTTCCAGCAGTGGAGCCGCAATAAATGCCGCCTGCTCTTCCCTCTGGTCTGGTGAGATTGATATGGCCATTGCAGGTGGTTTGAATGTCATGACAAATCCGGATAATTACTGTATGCTCTCTAAAGGCCACTTTCTATCAAAAACAGGCCAATGCAAAGTATGGTCTAAGGATGCCGACGGGTATTGTCGAGCAGATGGAATTGGTAGTATTGTCATCAAGAGACTAGAAGATGCTATTGCGGATAACGATCGAATTATTGCAATGATATGTGCTGCTGCAACGAATCATTCTGCCAATGCAGTGTCTATAACACAGCCACATGTCGGCGCACAAAAGGAAAACTATAATAAAATTTTGCAAGACGCCGGAGTTGATCCTCTGGATGTCAGTTATGTAGAGCTCCACGGTACTGGAACTCAGGTATGTTCTTATATTCTATCAAGCCTTGCTTTTTGGATATCAATAGAATTGACATCTAGCCTAGGTCGGTGATGGAGTCGAATCCAAGTCCGTGGCCGATGTTTTTGCACCCCTAGAAATTCCCCGCCGAGCAGATAACCCATTAAATCTAGGAGCTATCAAATCAAATATTGGTCATGGTGAAGCTGCCGCAGGAGTTGCATCGATAATCAAAGTTCTACTCGCGTTTGAAAAAAACCAAATTCCGCGCAACATTTTTGTCGCTAAAGATATCAATCCAACTGTGGCAGCAAATATCCGCAATCGAAATGCACGTATGGTTACTGAGAATATATCTTGGCCTAGGAGAACTGAAAAGAAGCGTTATGCTGTCGTAAATTCTTTTGGAGGTATATTGCTAGTTTTTAACCATCATTACCTTTCATTTTTTAGAATTAGTGCTAATTGTGTGGACAGCACACGGCGGAAACACATCCTTTTTATTTGAGGAAGCCCCTCTTAGACCCGAGAGTATCCGTGATCCGCGGAACGTCTTCGTTGTCGCAATTTCTGCCAAAAGCAAAAATTCTCTCCGTGGCAATTTGACTTCCTTGCTCAGATATCTGGAGAATACTTCTAATGTCGAGTTGGGAGATTTATCATATACTTTATGCGCTCGAAGAATACACTATCAAAACAGGGTCGCAACATCTGCGACAACTATTATCCAGGTCCGAAAGTTCATTGAGTCTGCTCTTGTACAAGTGGATTCCTTACGACCTATTCCTGTAGAAGTGCCGCCAATTGCTTTTGCTTTTAGCGGACAAGGTGCGTTCTACGAGCGAATCGGTCAGCAACTATTTAAATATTTTCCAACTTTTAGAGATGAGGTTCTAAGGCTTGATCATTTATCACAGCAAATCGGGTTCCCCTCTATAATTTCGGCACTGACTGGATCCACAAACACACAAGTATCAAGTCCACTCGTCGTGCATCTCACTCTTGTTATTGTAGGAATAGCTTTGGCTAGGTTCTGGGAGCGACTAGGGGTCAAGCCCGACGTAGTTATCGGTCATAGTTTAGGCGAATATCCTGCTCTAGTATCCGCAGGAGTCCTATCTGCGGCCGATGCTATATTTCTTGTTGGCAGACGTGCAGAGATCCTACTCGAAACTTGCACACCTGGTACTCACTGTATGCTTTCTATACGTGCAAGTGTTGAGACAATAGAAAGACTCACTGATAAGCTTCCACATGAGATAGCTTGTCTTAATAGTCCTGCTGACACCGTCATTAGTGGCTCCCTGGAACAAATTCAAAAAATTCAAGAGCTAGTGGAACAAAGCGGTCTCAAATGCAACCGCCTTGATATTCCTTTTGCTTTTCATTCATCCCAGCTAGATCCCATGCTGGATCACTATGAGAAGCTAGCAGGAAGTGTAACATTCAATCCACCTTCTATACCAGTTATATCGCCGCTCCTTGGAGAATGCGTCACTGAACACAAGATAATCAATGCTAGGTATATGCGTCGGGCTACAAGAGAGCCTGTCAATTTTCTAGGGGCCCTCTTGAATGCCAAGAAAATAGGGTTTATAAATGGAAGCGTCTCTTGGATCGACGTTGGTCCACATCCTGTGTGCACATCATTTCTTCAATGTTGCGCCCCAGCCAACAAGATTTTTTCAACCCTCCGTCGAAATGAGGAGAATTTTACGAACATCTCCCGGACATTAGTGGAACTACACCTCCAGGGCATCCCAGTATCATGGAATGATTATTTTGAGCCCTACGAAAAATCGCATTCCCTTTTGAATCTCAGTGGTTATAGCTGGAATGCGAGAAATCACTGGATTCCGTACCGAGGTACATGGGCACTCGACAAGGCACACAAGGAAAAGCCTCGACTCACTACGTTATCATCGCCTCCGTTGAAATCTTCATCTATTCATCGTATCATCTCGGATACATTCCAGGACACTGCACACCAGATAGTTACAATTTCTGATTTAACACATCCAGAACTGTGGCCAATTGTCTCGTCACATCGCGTCAATAAAGAAGTAACGGCTACATTGGTGAGTTGTGACGAATCTCTCCCACAGGAATGAACTAATAGTCTTTACAGACAATTTGGTCTGACATGGCGTATTCTATATCGAAGTACATGTACCAGAGACTGAACCCAGAAAACACCACCACTTCAATGAATCTTGCAAACTTTGAAGTATTTCACTCCGTATCAGTCTCCGGAGGTACAAGTCGGCCTCGACTAATACGAATGGAAGCAACTTATCGACCAAACCTTCAGACCACTAACATACAATGGTACCATGCTTCCCTAGATGAACAGCGATCCTCGGATATCGTCATTTCGGCAACAATATTTCACGAAGATGTCTTGACATGGCAAAGAGAGTGGCGCTCGGTCCATCACTTCTTACAGGACCGAATTGAGGTTCTGTCTCAAAAAGCGCTAAACTGCACTGCCAATCGAATTACAAAGAATTTGGTCTACTCGATGTTTAGAAATATTGTTGACTATGATGAGATTTACAAGGGTATTCAGAGTCTAGTCCTCGATGGTTATGAGGCACTGGCGGAGGTTACATTACCGGAAAAACACGGTCACTGGCTTGCGCCACCGCACTTTGTTGAAAATGTTCTCCAGGTAGCTGGGTTCGTGATGAATTGTGGCGATGTCTTCGATCATCGAGATACCTTCACTGTATTCCCTGGCTGGAGTGATCTACGCCTCCTGGGCGCTCTCAAACCGGGAGAAAAACTGCGCGCCTATGTGCGACTGACCCCGGGAAAGGTTAGCCGGGAATATCTAGGTGATGTGTTTATTCTAAGAGCTGACGAAATTATTGGAATGTGTTCTCAGATGCGATTCCGTCGGGTACCACGAATGTTGATGGAGACTTTCTTCACCGCAGAGGACGATGATATTGTCGTAGGTTCGGCGCGCCGAAATGATGGTCGAGCCATGACACCCTTTGGGAAAGGTGTCTCGCATCCCATTACGCCAGCCGAGTCGGAAATTTCAGAATCATCTTACCTGGCAGTAGATGGCGACATTCTAGCTGCCAAGACGCTCGTCAAAGCTGTCGAGGCAAGCCAGGCCTCGATTAGCGAGAGTACAGAGATGATTTGGGCTGAATCTCTCCGAGTCATTGCTCGAGAATTAGATATAAATGTCGATGAGCTGAACGATGACACAACGTTCGCTGAGCTCGGCGTTGACTCGCTGATGTCTCTCATTCTGGTACAGAAATTTCTGAGCGACTTGTGTATAAAACTACCAAGCTCCGTCTTTCTCGAGTATCCAACAGTGAAGGCGTTTAAAGAATATTTGAAAGATTCGTAATTATAATTCGTCGTTGAGCTATGAATGGCTGGTCTATGCATGGTTTAATGTTTTTGCGCTTGATTTTAGCCAGCTTCGCACTTCATAGGGACAGAGGGGGGTTTAAGTTTTTTGTAAATAAGGCGCAACGAAACAGACGGCGTTGGTCACGTTCAAGAACACTTTGTAGAATTATCAAACATAGTTCTGAAACTGAAATTACTGTATTATCTTTGCCAACTCCTAACTCGCCGTCTTTCACCAATCGCTAACACTGCAAGCTATCGCATGTACCCTATCTCTCACGTGTATAGCGAGAGCTGGTAGAACTTCAGATACACAAAAATCTCCGCTCGATGCACTATATCGATTTGCGAAATGCAGCATGACCTTGGAGACACGGGGTAGTTCAGCCAAAAATTTTCGGACAGCAAACCATTTATTAATCGTTTCAGATTCAGAATAATCTATGTGGGGCTCGGCTCTACCTTGCGAGTGCTCGGTTGGAACAAGTCCTAAGCTAGTTAAGAAATTTTGCGAGCGACATATAGCTAGTTTATTGATTAATATACTTAGAACATCAAGCACAGCTAAGCAAACCGAGGCAACCAAAAGCCCGACTTCGGACGTATCCGAGCATGGGCAGATGAGAATAGTGGTTACTTTTCTGAGAGCCTTCATGACGGTCTTGGTCGTAGCATCGAGGTCCCATGACTCGAAAGAGCAGGCTAGATTCATGCTTATTTGGGCTTTTTCGTTGAGGTCAAGTTGAATGAGAGTCTGCATGGCGACAGATGCACAGTCCAGAGACGAGGAACAGATATCGCTCTGGAGGATTTTATCAAGGAAGAGGTCCGGCGAGGTTTGATGTTGAAAACTTGGAGGGCTTAGTTTTGAATGAACGGAATGTGAAAAATCTTGAGTACACGGTGATGATGAGTTGAGCGTTGCCGCAAAATCAGGTGGATCGAGGCCAGCATATTCGCCGAGAAGACTTTCGGTGCAAATTGCAGATACCCGTCGGCTATTTTCAGAGGCCCCGTGGTAGGAAATTCCGTTAATATCATCCTTACTTTCGAAGGCTGCAGTAGGGGCATTTGACTTGTTTACGGTGGATTCGGGATAATTTGATAATTCTTGTTCAAGCGTTAGGCTCGTTGTGTTCTTCAAACATTCCCAATCATGCCTCGACGATTGGACAGAGGGCTGGAGAGAGGTGGTACTACGTCGTGGGTAAGGGCGACCAACGCGTCGCGCCGGGCTGTAAAAACATGAACAGCCCAGCCGCTCACAGCGATCACACACTGGCTTTTGTTTGTTGCATCTGACTTTCGAAGCTGAGCACATATCACAGGAATCTTTGAGCTTTGGCGTTGGATGGCTGCGTTTGACGGGAGCGTCACTCATGACGAAGGAGAAATATAACGTTTTTGAGGTAAGTAGTAAGTCTGGACTCCAAAATGACGAGTTTAACTGCGGCAAAATGAGAAACAATTTGTTTGATGGTAAACATCGTAATTTCTTGGTGGGTTTGTAAATTGTATACGTAAGTACTAAATTTTTAACTCTCACACACCATATGACGAGAATATGCTCCAGTGCAATGGGTTATAATCAAGGAACAAAGTGACAAAATGGCAGCTCGTGGTTAGTGAACAGTCAAGGTCCCCGGGCTGAATCTACATCTGGCCCCATTTATCTCATGCAGACTAGTGTGGGAACTCAGATTCAACTTTATGATTGGTACATTTGTGGTTTGGGATGATATTTCATCCCTAAAGTCTATTTCTCATCTGCAGTCAATTAGTGCACATTCTGCCTCATTATGATATCTGCAAAAATAGATTGGTTGAACAAACGAAATACATCATTAAAGCTAGAGGCTAATCCGGATCTCGTATTGGATGAGGCACGGCGGAGATAACGGTAGATGACGAGATGAGTTCTAGCGAAGAGTGCTGATGGTTTATGAGGCAAGAGATTTCCACACTGTTTAAAGGGTAGGGGCAGCTAGAGTCGGGTGACCTCGTCGTATTAATTAACGTTAGCAACGTCAAGGAGTTCAAGGTTCCTGGTAAAGTAAATCTCACCCCTAAAATTAGCTGAGCCTGAGCACAAACCATCAGTACTTACATCATCAGAGCATCCACCGTAGACAATTTCATCTATCCTTTACTATTTACATCATCCTTCTTTTCTTTAGATTGCTCGTCTCCTCGCTACACCGGACTGACTTTTTAAAAGCTCTTTGGAGCGTTCAGAAGCACCGGAAAAATTTATACATCTTTTATTCAGAGTAGTAACTGACGATAGGAGACGCATTGTTGCCCTCTGGCCCATGCAAATCATATTTATCCTAGGCTATGTGGCTATAATCGTTGGGATGACACGGTCCAGAGACTTGAAACTAAAGTTTAGTCTGAATAATGAACTATCATGGATAACCGACCTTGTATTGAGCCTTGTTGAGTAGGCAAGCTTCATCGAGGTGATGAGGGAACAGTGCTTTGCATAATATCTCTCGACAGGTTAGCCTTTCACCTCATTAGACTTTTGGTTTCTGGTCGGAACAAGACAGTTATTCATCCCATGAGATGGATTGTGAGAGGGATCAGGGTAGTCTGGTACCTGGACGCTCAAGTTTGAAGCCATCAGAAAGTAACCATCGAATCATCAAAAGCCTGCTCAATTTTCTTGATCACCAAGCTTGGAAAGCCAACGCGGCGGTAAAAACGCTGCTCGCTCGCTCGATCACCTCACCTCCCCCTGGTAAAAGGCCCATATTTATAGAGCCCTAAACAGAACGAAGATGACCTCCAAGTGGTCAATAGCTTATTCTCGCGTCACGCTTCTGCTTGGGACTCCCTACATTCTTCCGGAAAGATCGTTTATGTGGCCTAGCGCGATCAGCGTGATCGGCGTAGAATCTTGATTCTAGAGGATCAATATGGAATTCCTACCTTGCACACGAGCCGATAAATTTCGAAAACCTTATTGCTGACCATGGAAATACCCAGTATTAGCCCAGCATATCCCGATAAGCATGCAGAAGCCCTGGTCCAAAGCCATCGGCTTAGCTTCGTCATTTCGATAGGTGGTGGGTCTGCTGGATCTTCGAGTCAGTGCATATAACGGTCACCAATGGAGCAGATCCTGTTCAGCCCTCGATTAACCGCGTCAACTAGGTGCAGTAGCCAGGCGTAACAGAGGCCAAGTTGCAACCACTATTTAATTCCTACGGGCGCGGAATGATCTATATTTTGATTACTGCTTACAGTGAAAAGTAGGGGATTTAATCATCGACTTTATGCCCTGACATCCACAGTAAACCCAAGCAGTCGTATTCATTGACATGCCTGAAACCCCCTAGTTAGCTTCACGGAGAACTAGAGATGAAAATCTTGTTGACGACAATAATGTTAGATGCATACGAGGTGCTGCCCTTGCAGATAAGAGTATCTGTAATTCCAATAAGTGCCGGTTAATTACCAATCACTCACCACATAGTTGGTCGGTCATTGCTATGCATATCATAGAAAAATCGGTTCGAGCAAGGAATAGCAGGTAAGCAGGCCATCATTCCGCTGATAGTAGACCGATCAATATTTGCCGATTGTCCTTTGATATGGAAATAGAGATGCTGGGGTCTGAACGGGGCAGTGGATCATGGGTGATAGGGATAAAATAACGAAAACCCCGAAGCTCGACAATGGCTAGTCTATTCGCATCATGTACCACCAAAGGCAGAGTTTGTTTTCACCACGTGGTCAGCGACATACTCTCAATATAAGCTTGTCTTAACAATTGGGCCCTGAGTGATAATCAAACTATCATCTTAAACAAGTCTTAAATTTTAATTCGATGACAGAAACCATGCCATTAAATCAAGCTATTCCACAACCCTTACACCAAAACGGATGATGTAGATGAGCACAGTGTGTGTACCTACTTATATTCTAGCCGAACCTATTTGCTTTTAGATATTTCTGAATCTATGACTACTTAAAACTTATGGGTCAAATATTTAATTGCTGCAGGTAATGTATTCCTTGCTATGCCATCTTCACTGTTACCATGTACTAGTACTACCCCACAGTTTCTCATCCAATAAAACACTCAGTAAAGCCTTTCGGTCTTCAAAACCTCCCCTCTCCAATCGAAAAATTGGTTGGATCTAACTTTTCAATGACATCCAGGAAAACCGGCTAAAACCCTTGGATGCCAAAGACCACTATTACCGATACTAGTAGCACATTCGGAGACATGGCTATCCTCCCAAGACCTTTTTTGAAACCATATTTTAAATCTATATGCAGCTATCTAAGTATGACACATCAGAAATAGAAGACAGATTAAAAATTTCAATTTATACCCTCTGAAGTGTTATCTTTATAGAAAAATATAAATTATTTTGTGGCAGCCTTTGCGTGCAAAATCCGTGATTCTCGTCCTTTTACACGAGTGGCCAGCCAGTCCCACAAGATAGACTTATGTGTGCTTGAGGGAGTCATTGTCTACCTATCCAATCTATCTTGAACAACATTCTTTTTCGCCTCTGAAGATAGGTTAAAGCCTGTGTTAAATTATCCGAAAAGTCTTAACAGAAGGTGTATATTGTAGAGTGAAATTGCTTACCTTTTTTTGCGCCACCTTTGGTAAGGGGAAATGCTTTAGACTTATTGAATACGGAAGCCTAGGTAGCTAGTGTAAGACCTGTCCTTGACTCGGAAAACTATACTGCCAGAGTTGAAGACCTCTAGATAACACTACTACCGAATTTTGAGATGTAGATCTCTTTTATTTACTAGTGTTCTAGCAACCGAAAGTTCCTAGAGACACAATTTACGGGACAATATCATTCACGAATTCGGAACTTCACGACTCTTCGGTAAGGTAATTCACATCGAATACACAATAGGAATTTTACGTGATACCAATGAATATATCGAGGACTGCGTGATCACTTTGAATTCTAGGATATATGATCAGTAGCACTTTTCATCCGCAATATTGTATGATATCCCACCTACTCTCTGCCATCGAATTACCCTACTGGGTTATTACCCTAACTCTGTACACATAAAAATATCAAGAAGTAATGGATTATATGGATTACAAGTTCTCTATGTCGTTGACGGTCACCAACTAAAAATGGGAATAAAGTTAAAATTAATCAACCAGATGAACTCTGATATCCTTACCAGGAACTCTTCATAATTAAGGGACTATTCTCAACACCTGTCAGTGGTGTCCCCTACAAACCTCCAGCTCTCACTGTAGAGTCTGCAGAGCCGAGATTGAGTAACAAAGTCCTCACTTCGACGAGGATTTCCAATCGCTTTCGCGGTCTGTATCATCTTCATCTCTCAACACGTTCCCATATCACCATTATCACAAAGCTAACCACGATCAGATCAGATGGCAGGGTCAGAGCCCTACTTGTTACCAACCCTTGATCATGGAGGAAAAGCCATCCGATGAGTTTCCGGAGCGTACCCAGCACCCGATACGGAGATGGTGGATTGGATCGAGTCAGCTTCGACTATTAAAAAGAAGGGAGATATAGATGAATATGCGCACTTTATGTGGTCCCAGTGTCTAGGCCTCGCCTGGCTGGGACTGCAGGTTTTTTGAGACTTTTTTCCGCGCACGCAGTTTCCATTGCTACCATTTTTTTTTGGGTAGAAGGTTCCGTGGAGAAGGTGGCCGAATTCCACGGGTAAACACTGAGCTGAATGGCTATTTATCGCGGGCAATATATCAATGATCTTACGAGTAACAAAAGAGGATAGGAGCACTGTACAAGGTGTGGCCTGGGCCAGAGAGGAGCCCAATGTACTAGATAGTCATAGACTCAAGTAGTACAATAAACATACCTCTTTCTCTCTCACTCTTCATGATTTCTTATTTTCGTTTCGTGTCACAATTATCCGCAAGTCCGTCTCTACTCTTGGTTGCAATCTTCTGTGATAGTTTATATTTTTCCCAATATGCAAATTTTTTAACAGATTTAGATCCTTCAACAAGCCGGTAGTATTAATACCCTTGGTAGTGTACACTCTCTTATATCTCTGCGACCTTTAATTGGCGGCTGTGGTGCCACTGGTTTTTATTTGATCATATAAGGGTTAAGCCCTTATTGTCTATTGGAAAAGATTGAAAAAACAGTATTTATAAAAACAAGTGAATTTTGGTGGTTTAATGTCTACTTTTAGCAGTCCTTCATAGTCATAGACTCAGTAGGGACTTAAATTTAATTCTATTCTATTCTATTTGATCACATATTCAGTGTATTTAGTATTCTATCACTACTTGCCCTTCCAGCCAGCCGTTCGGAGGCTATTTTCGGGATTCTAGCTGCCGGTAAATTTATCACAAACTACGGGGTGTGGAGGCTTTGTTATACCGACATCAAGCCTAGATTAGAAGGCTTAACTACCCTGCTCTAGCCTTTAGAAAAATCTAGTTAAGCCTTGTAAACCGACGTTTAACAGAGAGCACCCCTCTCTTTTCATAGCCTACTCCTAAGTCCTACCTTAAGTGCCACAGGAAATTCTGGAGGCTAGAGCATGATATCTGTATGGCTTTGGTTGACGGATATTACAACTGTGTAGCCTAGTGTGCATCCCAAAGTCGTTTTGTTCACGAGAAGTTCGAACAGCTATAGTTGGCTACTTGTAGAAAAGATTTTAGCCGAACTAGATAGCCTAAATTTTGCATACTTGCTTGCGGTGCTCATTTAGGCCCGTAAGATCAATTAATCTATAACTTCAGATTTTGGGATAAGCCCTACAAGCTAATAATGGAAAAAAGAGGCCGATCTTATTCGCATTGGCTCATGATGTGATTATTTAAGAGCACGAGACTTGTAATCGTTCTGAGTGGAGCGTGACCTTAAGTGGTTCCGTTAGCGACACGACCTCTTAAAATGACTTGCTTAGCTAAAACCTACTGCGCTACGTCAATAGAATAATGCGAGCCCTGCCTTTTCCATAATCGCGGATGGATCCTAATCGATGGGACTTTGCAGCTGCGGATCTATGCAGTCACCTGATGTTGGGCTTCTTAACACCATTGTATCCATACTGCAAGTTGCTCAGGGGTCCGAGAAGTAGACCCACAGGATTGCTAGACATTCAGAGGTTATCATATCTTACATTTGCAGGATGAGATCAGTGCCGAAATCCTATCCGAGGCCTACGAAGGTAACGTGTCCTTAGGCAAAAAATTGACCAACCAGCTTTGAATTATTTTTTAGACCTCAAGTTCAACCCATTGACCAGCATGGGTGAGCATTCCATGGATCCTTCTCTCGCACAATTGATATTCATTATGCAGACAGTACTGGCGAGCTTGCCAAATGAGGTCACCACCAACAAGCTAGGCGGCTGAGTCACACATGGGTGATATTTCAGCGAAAAATAAATTTACACGTCAACATTCCGCCTATATGGCGTCAATATCATGGACGCAATATTTTACTGGAGTCGAGAAAATATTGAAACCAGTTCACCTAGAATTGGGAGATTCTCGGGATTTGGCAGAAGCTTTTGGGAGGATATCGAAACCCAGATTACGAATAGGCTTATCTTCAACGTTTAATCTCCTACTGGCAATAAGGATAAAAACAGGCATAGCTATCACATCATACAAGCTATTGAAAGGTTCTAGCGGGGGTCCACTAAAAATTTAAAGGTCCAAATTCTATGAATCATTTGCAGTAAAGATCTAAGATGTGCAGACCCAGGGAGCATTGATGACGACAATAATCATTCGAGCTTCTGTATGTCAAACAGTAATGTTGCTCCTCAGGATTTGCAGAGAATAATGGCTTCTTTAAAAGTCAGCAAAGCTTAGAATTACGGAACCTACAGATGTTTCATCGACTTGGATTACTGCTAGAAGAACCCGTCGAGAAAAATCTCTGGGCATAATTTGAACCGAAACATGAGAAACATATTAGTACACAGACCATATAATTTTGAGTTATTCATATAAGGATTTGATACAGCAGTAAAACTATTAACTCAGGATATCGACTTCCTAGTGGTATACCTTAGTGTAATAACTTCATGTATTTTCAGGGGGGGTATACAATTTTTCCTGCAGTCAACGAATACCTTTCAGAACCCATGCAATCGGTCATCTACATGACAGGTAAAAATTTCAATCGGCAGCTGCATCTTGAACCTTACCCATGCAATATTAATTACCAGCCTCTCACATACGATCTTTTGATGTTCAGCTTAATAATTCCACACCCTGAACCAGCCATGTGCCATCGCTTTCCCGCAATACGACCCCTTGTCTAATTCTGGTATCAAAATAATAGCAGTGCAGCTCGCCCCATGATATTGGCAACCTGTCGTACACGTACTGATCTGTAAGTGGGAAGGAGCATCAAATGACTGCCAACAAAATCCCCAAAGATAGGTGGATTGATAGAGAGAAGCAAAGAGATGTTAAGATTTACTTACATTTATTTCCAAAAGAAACCTGATATTTTGCAGTAATTTTTCAAATTAATCAACGTCAATTTACATGGAATCCTGTCAGAATCTTCATCGAGCATCACTTATTCTAACACATCATCATCATATGCAGAAGCACTGCTAGTATATACTCTAAGATCATTATCCAAGCTTCAACAAAGTGGTAGAATTATGGCAGTTCCGTATAGCAGTAAAAAGCCTCGTACACAGAGTCTTCCAAAGTGCTTTCCGCCTGTCTTCACATCAAATTCCTTGACCTCTTCCGCAAAACAGCAATGCAGCTATGAAGAATTACAACATTCAAGCTATCTTAATCACTCTACTTCCTTTTACTCTGCTTCTCCAGAGGGAGAAACTCTCTCTCTAACAACAAAAGACGACTATCAAAGTTCAAATTGCAATACATTTGGAAATTTGGTTGACGTCAGTGGGTCGGGAACCAACGATTTCCAATTTTGCCGCGAAGACCGTAACGAGACAACGCAAAATGATAATTATTTTCTGGCACTTCGTAGAGTTCCAGAATCCAATTCGATATCAATACACTATGAGAAATCCGAAGTGCCTTCAGATATCCGAGACCCAAGTAGATTCTTCTCGCCGGAGACACCGCAGGAGCTCTGTAAACCAACAGTCGATTGGGTTCTAGGACCATCCTTCAGAGAAAATCTACCTAGCAATGCTCAAGAGAATACAACGATAAATCAGTCATCCTTATTGAGTTCTTTAAAGGTTGCTACTCCAGCTAAAATTTCCTGCAATCAGGGTAGATCATGCATGCAAGCTGCCATCGAAACACTTTGGAGTCTTCATACCAGTAATGTATCAAATTTTTGTCTGTCTAACAATAATCTTAAAGCAAATGGTGCAGCTGGCTTCGTATCTCCTCGCTCATCTGAAGACGTTCTGCAAAAAAATAAAGAGATAGAAAAAGTTCTTAGCTCTATTCTTGCCTGTGCCTGTTCTGAGCGGCCTAGGGTTCAAGTGCTCTTGGTTAACATATGCCATCGTTTACTGATATGGTACAAGGCCGTTGTTCCCTGCCATAAACCATTGTTATCAATAGCAACCAGCTTTATGGGCAGAGAAGAACCTGGCGAAACTATCTCGCATCAGCCCATACGAATCGGTGAATACTGTTTGGACGAGGCTTTAGAACTTCGAATCAAAGCCCAAGTAGTTTTTGCGGAGCTCCAGAAATTAGAAATTCTTATCAGTATCCTCGTATCGCGCATGACGACAGAGAGAAAGATAGCTGGCTACTCAAACAAAAGCTGTGATTATTCTGAAAGCGATTTCATCCCGACCCAAGAGACTGAATTTTCAGAACACGTGCGGGGAAAACTGGCTACATTATTGCACAGGAAACTCCAGACCATGATGATAGATTTGAAAGGTATTTATGTACAGCATGCATGATCAAATTATAATTAATCAGGCGATTTTTATATTGAGCGATCTAAAGCTACCAATTGCATGCAGTCGGTGGGTCTAATTTCAATGCCACATGCTTCAGATAATCGTCTAATTGTTAAACGCAAACTCCACGTATAAGCGACTACGTACTTGGAGAAGCCAGTCTGAAGGTGGGACCAGTCCGGCAGGCCTAGACTACGGCTCTCTGAGTAGTCCTCGTAACGGCTGGTCTAGTCAATATATGCTTGGATGAGACTTCCTGGGCCTAAATCTGTTGGTGGGGCAGTTTGAGCGTTGAGGGGATGGAAGTATGCTGAAGGGTAGTTTGCGCTTAGCTCCAAGGTTGTCTGGGGTCTCCTCTCCCCTCCATCCTCGTCTTTCTCCTCCCCTTCGGCCTGACGAGTCTTTGATTTAGGTAGCCGACAGAAGTCAAGGGAGCGTCTAAAGCGGTGCCAGGACTAGGTCCATAAACAAAGCGCTTCCCTCCTAGTATCCACACCATGACGTCCTCGAGACCTTGTAACAACTTTTGCACGTGATAGCCCTGCTTCGCTTATCGGCCTGTCCCGCTATGCACCGCACTAGCTCGGGCTGCTGCCTCCCGGCCGTGCCATGCGCCTTGCCTTCCATGTTTCCAATTGCCCCTCTCCATCTCTTATAGCCTGGCACGTTTCTAGCCGGGGGCCTGGCCTCAAAGTCTCACATGATCTACCCTAATACGCGACTCGAGGACCTTGAAATAAGGAGTGAAATTATTTATGTTTGCACCCAGCCTAATGGGCACTAGACTCCGTTCCTGACCTGCCTTTGATCTAAAAGAATGCGCTCGGAAATAGATCACGGATTCTTATCGACGATTCTCTAGAGACACATCAAACGTCATTCTGACCACTCAATGCCCGGGAGTTCACGCGGCATGGATACTGAATCTACTCTACGAGTTATTAGGTGAGGGTATGGCGGGTAGGGGGAATCTCGTTCAAGTCCTCGTAAAACGGACATTAGGGTATGCATCTATCGCCATGTCTCAAGTAGCTGCGTGGCTAACTGCAGGGGTCAACTGAAACATCATGAAAAACATCATTAATCCACTGTGGGCGAGTATTAGAATTTTAGCCCTACTCCCAATCGATCCAGTTCCTCGTCACTAATCATATGGAGATTCATCGAACTTATCGATGTGCCAGTCTTGTCACTTTCACTGTTGGATCGTTTTATGCTGTTCTCGTGAGGTAGAGGTAGTTCCTTATTGATTATCACCGTACTCATGGATCCCAGCACGGGGCTTTCTCGGTCTTTTTCATCACTTGGCATCGGGGGCTGGACTAAGTTGGTCTGCAAGGTTAGTGTAGGCAGCGGACCAGAATTCTTCCAGTCTCCAAGGCTGGGCGGTGCGTATTGTGCGTCTGGTTCCAAGGTCGATTTTAGACTGGGGCGTCTAGATTTTGGCGGAATGGCAGGCGCTACTTTCTGTGGTGGATATATAATGTCGAAATTCTCTTTATCGAATGAAGCGATGATATTATCGCGAGTTGTTTGCGGGGAGAGTAATGCAGCCGGTATAGGAAGGTAATTATCAGTGGATGAAATGAAGGGGAGTTCGTAGAGATCTGATCTAAAGTTTTGGGAGCTATCCTGTCCCGTTGGTGTCTCATAATCGTTGCCAGCTTTTGCTTCGGTAATAATCCTAATTCTCTGATCTAGGCATAAGGTAGGGGGCCGATTCGGCTTTGTCTTACCGCCCATTAATGTGGAGGTAGTATCTCTCGGTCTCGGGGGGATTGGTGATGATATGCTTGAAATAGATTTTTTAGCAGGTGGTTGTGGCTTTGCTTCAGGTAGGCTTAATTTGGCCGTCATTTTTGCAATTGCTTGTCGGCTTCGGGAATCTTTGGTTGTCTCTTGTTCCTCTTCTTTGTCATGGTGTTGTGACCTTCTCCTTCGTAATATAAGATACACAGCCAGAGTTATGATCATACTCGCGCCTAAAATCCCGCACACAATCCCCCAAATAATAGCTCTGTGGGTAGGCGCTGATGTGGTTTGATTGCCGAGGTTGGAATCTTTAGTTTCTCTTCTGAGTAAGTATCTAGTCGAAATGTCTATTTGATGGCCATTTGTTCTACCCGGATGGCTGTCGGATGTATGCTCTGAGGTAGGTCTCATGACTTACTTCACCCAAACCCGGAGGATAGAAAAGTGACGAGTGGTTTCGAATGCATTCACAGCTGAAGGGGAGGATGGAGCAAGCGGAGGTCTTGAAAATAAGAACAAAACTAATTCACAAGATTCGGAAGGAAAAAACCAATATTGCAAAGGATCTTGATTCATATCGATTATAAGAGAGATTGGGGGGAAGAAAAGAGATGAGGCATATGTATCTTGCGTGAGGCAAGGGATATGAGGGATGTCTTCTACCCGGCAATTAGTTTCAGAGATCAATCTTGGGATAAGTTACGCATCTATCATTTCTGCGGTATTTTCTCACAAAGCTAGCCAGTGCCTTCAGATTAGCATGAACGGGTGGGTCTCTAGGGAGATGGGAGAATACTGCAAGTGTTATTTGGGTACAATCGATGATCATTAATTTGAAAAAGCGCAAGGTTGCCTACGTGAGAATTAATCTCCTCGAGTATCCGTACCCTGAGAAGGTCCTAAGATTTGAAGATTTAGGGAACATTATCCCCATCAGAACATTGGGAAGCTAGTGGGGCTTGACCCGAGGTCCTTGTATTTTTCTTGGTTAGGACACAGCATCAATCAAAGGATATCAGCCTTAATGTCAGCAATACGAGAAATGAAGGAATTTCATGCGCCTTGGACGTCTCGGGATTAAGCGGAATTTGAAAACAATCGGTAATGGAGATGAGTAGAAATGTGAGCTCGAAGGATCCGGCTAGTGTGCAAGGTAAAAATACAAAGCCTCGAGGCCCAGCCACATGACATTAGAATGCTCTACCTAAGCCGGTACTCCGAATGGATTGTCAAATCCCAATTGACAGGGAGCGGTGTTGGCTCACAGCAAGCACAAAGTGATGTTCATTGCACATCATTTGGGTCTAGTGGCTATCAGAGGATCACGCGGTTCGGCCAATGTCTATCCATCGGCACATTGAACTCATGCACGCGCTCTAGTGTATCTAGTTCAAGCAGTCGCGTTGGTATTAGTCACAGATTATTAAATTGTAGATGTATAGCGCAGATTATGTAGGCGAGATGAGAATCCAATCAGACATTAGTATCGACCTCGTCGGGAACTGGTACAATGTCCTAAGCCTTGCCGCCAACAACAGCGGCTACAAAGTTATTCGGGTGCAAAGGAAACCCAGATGACACTCGTAGCGTAAGGTTTATCAGGGTCTGGATGACCTTGGCCAAGTGTCGAATCGTCGAATGCTCAGCAAAACCTTTAGGGATTGGGACGTTTCTATCATTCAATGGCCACAATGACTCTCGTCGAACTGTGAATAGCTTTTGAAAAAAGATAAAGTTGCACGATAGTTCTGTGAGATTTGAGCATCTCAAGAAAACACCGAATGGTGTATGTTAACCTCAGCAATAGAGCCATACTACCAGAGCTTATCTAGGCAAATTGATTTCGACCATGTAACACATTTAACAAGAAAAAATATGTACAAATTGTGAGCCAAAGACAGGATAACTTCAATCTAGTTTGTGATTAAGGGGCTTTTCTACGTTTTCCAACTTTGTAAACCGAACAACGGTAGCAAGGGAGGAGGTAGCAACCAGTAATGATCTGTTTGGTGATTTCCCCTGGCATGAGGTTCAACTCGTACAGGATACGTTGGCAGTGCAACCAAGTCAGGATGATTGGAATGTGGACTGTTATGAGACAGGCCCCCCCAGCAATGATTTTCATAAGGATATGACAAAAGCCGAATGACACCCGGCTTTACCGGTAATGGTGCAAAATTTAACATTACAGTAACGCTTCAGAGTTTGGTGATAGCAGGTATCATGAGATGGTACGTCATCCTCAATTAGACAACGGATAAACACAGTGGTCTTTGACATTGCGGAAATAAGGTAGATCTATTTGGCTTTCAGGCTATTAATTTTCAACAATCCTAAATCAGTCAGCTTGAGATGCTTTTTTTGCATCTTGCGAGATCCGGTCACTTTAAATTTGGTTTATATAAGTTCTAAGTGACAGACGCCATGTATTCGAATAACCTTTTAAAGCATCAGCCTTACAGCACGTAGCTGGTTAGCGGAAGAAAAATGCTAGTCGTACCAAAATCTAAAATGTAGTGTAGTTCATACACTTGTGTCACCAACAGCTGTGCCGACGCCAGATTCGAAAGACGATGTTGACGGCACGGTAAATACCAAATCTCCAAAAAAAGAACCACGTGGAGGATGTACTCGTGCAGAGCTGCTGGATCCCGGGATGCAAGGATCCAGCAGAAAACCAGGAGGTCGACTAGTGGAAGTGGTGAGGGCTGGGTAGAGATGATACATACCTTGACTCTCACAACGGTTGGACACAAGGGAACGTGCACTTGAGCGCCTAGCAATAATTATCTATGGACTATGGAATGCATATCCAAACAACGTGTTCTTTAGTTGCTTTGCCCCTGCTATTTCACCAACAACTTCTCACACACACTGACATCATCCTGTTGGACGCGTCATCATGTCGAGGGATGCAAAATGTCCGTTGCACTTACACCTTTCACTACAGCATTCTCGCGTGCCCTCAAGTTGTAACGTTTTGCCCGAGCATCCTTTTTTTTTACGGGGGAGTTTTCCGAATATCCAGCGGTGGATGACAAGAATCTGAAAACGATTCAATTCATGCGGCGTCATATAATAATCATCTACTCAAACACCATTTCCAACAATGGAATCAATATCCAAATATTTCCAAAAAAATAAAAAATAATGCCTTTCTGGCAACATATACGCCGCCGCTTCCAAAGGTTATGCTGTAATCTTAACTTCTTCAAATTTGTGTTCTTATCGTATCTTATCATCCAATGTCTCTCAGTGGCTAAAAAAATAAATAATGCCGCTTCATTATTGGCTTGGAAGAATTTTGAAGCTCAACATTTCTAATCTTCAGCTAACGCTTGCAGCTGGTCTCATGTTTATTGTGACGGAATTTCCGTCCTAACTATCGCCAGCTTACCCACCTTTGAGCAGACTTTATATTCTATAAATAAAGTTATACACGCAAATACGCAATTTGACTGGTCTTCTACCTGATGCCTTTCTACATCAATATAGCTAGGGAAGGTCACTCATAAGGCCGTACTTTCAGTGAAGACAAATAAATCTGACTAAAAAGTCATAGTTCACTTAAGAATAATTAACCCTTACAAAATGAAGACTCCCTTCTCATCCGTATAGAAATGAGAGGCCTCAGTGAACTACTTGAGGTAAACAAAGATTTATGGTCCAATTTATGTGATGTTGACATTGTGACCTTACCTCATATAAATGCTCCAGAACTTCTACAAACACCCATGGCTTTGCAACGTATCTAAAGCATAATTTTAAATGAATGGTAGAAAGTACGAGTAAATGTTATCCTCAGCTCACTCCAAAAATATGGAAGTGATGCTTTCAGACCCCTCCTTGAGGCTTTAGAAGTCGCTGATATTTAATAAGAACCAGTTTATGTTCGAACTTAGATACCTCTCCATGAGCTTTGCGCAATATTAAGCGGTCTCTATCTTCTCCATTCAATCGCTATCAGTAATAGTGAAGCCTCAGACCTTCATGATACTGGTTATGAGAACGTCAATCGAGTATTTAATCCATTACTAAACCGTTGTACTTGAGCAAAGCAGAAGACTCACATCAGGATCTATCAGAAAATCTTTCCATCAGTAACAATAGAAAATAAATTAAAACAAAACCACATACATTCTCTAATTTTTATTGGCTCTTAAATTTTTCAAAGTCGCCAGTGGTTTTATTCTCAGGTCAATAGAATGACGCTGATTTCTTTCCAGAAGTCCAGATCAACTAAGTCCCTTCCAAAAATCAACGCACGGTCGACATTTTCTGTCTACCAAACGTATTGCTCCATGAACACATTAAAGTAGAAGGGGAATCTCCGACTGGATATCGTCAAGTTAGCCGCAGATAAAATCCCGTTCAGCGTTAAACTTTTTCAGTCCAGAAAAATTTAGCTGGCTGAAGATAGATCCCACATCTAAGTCTACACCAATTGTTATGGATAACGCGATTTAAACGCCTAGATCTGCTGAGCGCGATGTGTTTGCACCTCAGACCTCCATCATTAGCACTGTAAGGTTCTTATAAAGTGCATAATTTGCACCGGATCGCACAAGGCCTCTTTTAATAAATACCTATCTTAACCTGTTTGAGAAGAATGATACCTCGTCTAGATAGTAGGAGAAAACGACTTTTGCGCCAGGAATGACACAAGTAATGGCTCGCTCTAGATTATTACCTATTTCGGATCAATGTGAGTGTCTACTGAGAAATTGGAGAAGATCTAGGAGCTAGCGTAGAGCATGAGGTACTTATCTGTTTGGTATACGATTGGGGAATCAAAACCTGCATCAGGTTAGCTTCAATGTGCCATATTAAATTGTTGAACATTTAAAGACTCTATCACGAGCCATCTACAAGCAACTACTACCCATAATATTGAGGATGAAGCTGCTTCAAGTATGGTAATGCTCTCAGAACTCCTCCATGTAGCCTGTCCAAAATCCTGTGACAGCCAACTAAAATCAGCTTTTGGACTTAGAAGTATATCGAAACATTTCCACCAATTTCCCAAGCTTACCATATGGGCCGCTAGCAATATTCAAACTCCAGGTTTTAATCATGAGTTGTGATTCACGACGCTATATATAAAAAACAAATTAAAAAAATACGAGCAGTGATGAAAGCTTAGCAGATATTCTGGTATAAAAAGATAAAAATTTCTCTTATCTAAAGAAGACCCGCAAATTATAGCCTGCTTCTACATCCCATTTTAGGAGACCAACGGGACCTTCATTCTGGTTAGCAGAGAAAACGCAGCTCCTTAAGTAAATGCTGTTATGATAAGTATACGATATGGGTATTTACGCTCGCGCTGGAACAGTTAAGATAGTTCATGGAAAGACATCTTCATTGATATGTGTTAGACACTGAGGGTCAAATGAAAAATGTAAAGTAAA